TTGGTAACAAATGTTTCTGTTCGCATAAAGCTAATATTAAAATATAATTTTAATTGCAAAAAAAAATAATAAATATAAATAAACTATTTATTTAAATTCTGACTAATTATTTTTTCGTTCAGGGTTTTAAATTGAATTATTGTTTGCTTGAAACATGGTATATGGAAAGTTTTCTTAATATAAATAATTATGGTTGATTAATTACATTAATATATATATTGATGCACTTTTGTGTGTGATTATGTTGAAGTTTATCAAAAGGAGATTTTAATAACGAATCTACTGTTTGAATATTATACCCAAAAGTTTTTGCGGTTATACTTGGCAAAAAAAGCCTTTGCAGTAAAATCGCTGAAACACTGGTAGTTCAGTCCAAATTTCGAATCCCGGCAAACGGGTTGGCTCCATAAGTGTATTCGTAATTTTGAGTATGTGTAATGTGTATGCAGTATATTGTGAATGCATACGTAAATAAAGCGGGCGCAGCCCGCGCAAACCGCTGAACACTGGTAGTTCGGTCCAGCTTTCGAATAAAGGCTGTCTGGCTGGCTGCATGGGTATTTTCGTGATTTTAGGTATGTTTATCGTGTATGCAGTATTTTCTGGACTTATATGCGAATAAATCGGGCGCAGTCCGCGCTGAACACTGGTAGTTAGGTTCATCTTTCGAATTCCAGCGAGCGGGCTGTCTGCATGCATACCTTCGTGATTTAACGCATGTGTATCGTGGACGCAGTATCTTCTGGACACATATGTGAATAAAGCGGGGTGCAGCCCGCTCAAAACCGCTGAACACTGGTAGTTCGGTCCAACTTTCGAATAGCCGTTAAAGAGCTGTCTGTATGGGTATTTTCGTGATTTCACGCACGTGTATCGTGTATGCAGTATCTTCTGGATGCATACGAGAATAGAGCGGGCGAAGCCCGCGCAAATCTGCTGATCACTGGTAGTTCGATCCAACTTTCGAATCTCGGCGAACGGGCTGCCTCCATGTATGTTTCATGATTTTCCGCATGTGTAACGTGTATGCAGTATCTTTTGGATGCATACGCGAGTAAAGCGGGCGCAGCCCGGGTAAAATCGCTGAACACTGGAACTTTCGAATAAAGGCCAACGGGCTGGCTCAATGGGAGTTTTCGTGAGTTTCCGCATGTGTGTCGTGTATGCAGTATATTCTGGATGAATAATTTTAATAAAGCGGGCGCAGCCCGCCCAAAACCGCTAGACACTGGTAGTTCGTTCCGACTTTCGGCAAGCGGGCTGGGTGCAAGTTGTTTTCGTGATTTTACGCATGTGTAACGTGTATGCAGTATCTTCTCGATGCATACGTGAATTAAGCGAGCGCAGCCCGGGTAAAACAGGTGAACACTGGTATTTCGGTCCAACTTTCGTATACCGGGGAAATTTAACACGGGAACTCTTTTACACACGAGCAATATATAGCGGGCTTCAGCCCGCTCAGTTGGCGGGCCTGCCCGCTAGTCTATACTATTAAAATCTGTGTGCCTCTGTCTGTGTGTTTGTTTGGGTGTAACATCATCTCCTCGGGAACGGCTGGGTGTAGAGCTTAGCGGAAGGTACCGTTGGATTCAGAATGTCCCGTGGCTCGCCATTTTGACCATCGGCATCTTCGTGCGACTTTAATTAGCCGAGATATTAATTAAAAAACTGATTTTTCCCCTACGTTTCCCTACGTTTTGCACTTTCTTTCACACGGATTTCCCTGTTTTAGGGATTTGGCTGAGTGCCAAATTCGTTTTTCTCGAATATCTTGGGAACGGCGCCGAGTTGCGATTCGAAACGCATATCCCCGGACGCCAAAAAAATCAACAAATCCAACGATACCGGTCCCATCTTCGTGCGACAAAAATCGGCGGAGTTATTAATTAAAAACTGCGAAAACGTTATTTCATTTTTCGGAGTGGCAACATTCTCGGAATTAGCTGAGTTAAAATTGCTTTTTCCAAAGCGCCGGGGGGGGGGGGGGGGGAATTGCTTCTGCTCGAGATTTGTGCTGGGGAAAAGGTCACGTGTCAATTTCGTTTTTCTTAAATATCTATAGAATGGCGCTGAGTTGGAATTCGAGAATGGTATCTCCGGATTCTAAAAAATTCTGGGAATGCATTGATACCATTCTCATCTTCGTACGACGTTAATCAGCTGAGATATTAATTAAAAACTATGAATCGCTAATTTTCGCGCTCCTTTTTCCGAGTGGCTACAGTTTCTTGAATCCCCGGAGATAAAAATCAAGGTTATATTCTGAAGTTGAATAAAGCACGCGATTGCATGTTACCTCACTGTATGTTAAAACTATTTCGTTAATGTAGATATTTTAAATACACAGCTGCTTTTTGCAATTTTTTTAATTTTAGGTTAGGATATAATTCTACGATATGTTATTGCCATGTTAATTCTTTAATTGATGTTGAGTAAAGTTGTTATATTACATTAAATTTAAATGGTTTATCCCATTGGTAAGTGAATTAAAACTGCAACCAATGACAATAGCTACATTTTTTTTCAACATTTAGAATTTACCTTTGATTTTTTTTTCAGATTAAAGATTTTTTATGCGATATGTAAACAAGAAGTTGAAATTACTATTTAAAATATTAATTTAAAGTTTGATCAAACATTTTTTCTTTAATGTTTTAAATTGAATATGTGATCCTTGCACATGGTATATGGAAAGTTTTCTTATTTATAAATAATTATGAATTATTAATTACATAATAAATATATACTGATACAATTTTGTGTGTGATTATGTTGAAATTTATTTAAAAAAAAGGAATTTTAATAACGAATCTATTCTTTGAATAACAAATGCGAATATTTTTGCGATTACTCTTTCTGCAACGGCCCATTAGTGGCTGAGTTGTAAAGACACTGAACACTGGTAGTTCGGTCCAACTTTCGAATTCAGGCGAGCAGGCAGGCTATGCGGGTGTTTTTGTGATTTTACGCATGTGTATCGTTTATGCAGTGTCTTCTGGATGCATAAATGAATAAAGCGGGCGCAGGCTTCGCAAGAAAGCTGAACACTGGTAGTTCGCTCGAACTTACGAGTCCTGGTGAGCAGGCTGTCTGCATGGGTGTTTTCGCGATTTTCCACATGTGTATCGTGTATGCAGTGGATGCTTCTGGATGAATATGTGAATAAAGCGGGCTCGCGCAAAACCGATTAACACCGGTAGTTCGGTCCAGCTATCGATCTCGGTGTACGGGCTGGCTCCATAGGTGTTTTCTTGATCTTACGCATGTTATCGTTTATGCAGTATCTCCTCCATGAATATGTTAACAAAGCGGGCGCAGCCCGCGCAAGAAAGCTGAATACTGGTAGTTCGGTCCAACTTACAAGTCCTGGCGAGCAGGCTGGCTGCAGGGGTGTTTTCGTTATTATCCGCATGTATATCATGTATGCAGTGTCTTCTGGATGTATATGTGAATAAAGCGAGCACAGACCGCTCAAGACCGATGAATACTGGTAATTCGGTTCGAATTTCGATCCCGGGGAACGGGCTGGCTGAATGGGTGTTTACATGATTTTCCGGATGTGTAAGGTGTATGCAGTACCGTATGGATGCATACGGGAAAAAACCGGTTAAAATCGCCGGAAACTGGTAGTTCGGTCCAACTTTCGAATGTAGGTGAAATTTAACATGGAAATTCTTTTAAAAACGAACAATGATAAGCGGGCTTCAGCCCGCTAGTAAATCACTCTAAAATGAGTGATTTCAAAATAAATCTACATCATAATTTTCTTGCCTAATGCCCACTGTGCAGATATGAACATAATGCTTTAGCAAGTAATGGCTAATGTAAATCTGAGAACCAGCTTTTAATATTTAACATAACAAAATAAAGCTAACTTGAAATTAAATCATTTTGAATCAAGTGATGTCACATTCTCATCTCCACTTTACTTCAGCTAACCTGCTAGCTCTCTCCTGTTGCACATTTTTTTAATGGGTGCACCAGTTTACCAGTGATGTATCAAAAGTACTGATCAACAATTAAATCATTGTTTTATTAAGAAATGCAAGAACTGCTCAACTGCCCATTATTTCAAGTATCTCATATTTCTCTTCTAAATTATTACATATAGCTAAATTAAAAAACGTTCAGATATAAATATTTAAATGCATATTATTTAAAAACTACCACCATATAGTTACTGTAAAGAAAAACATAATAAAAATACTACAACAGTATTAAAACGAAGCATAATTTTCCCAGCCTTACCATTCTTAATTTTGCATGCCCTAAGATCAGAAAAACTATTTTAAATTAAAAAATAATAAAATAAATAAATAAAAATAAAATAAAAACAAGACATTTAGAAACTACAGAAAATTATTAAACAGAAAAGGAACTTCACTGTTCATTATAAACACACTACAAGAAGGAGCACTTGACACGAAGCTGATATATGACATCATCAGTTAACAGGAATAAGTGAAATGACGCTATTTATCGCATTATAAAAGTGACTGATTAGCCAATGAGTTTTTTTTTTTTTTTTATGCTACATGGAATTTTTATTGTATCTAAGTATGGATATATTTGTTTTAAATCTAGTAAATTATTAAAGCACATTTAAAAAAATAGCTCTTGCACTGAAGAAAATATTGTTTAAGCTTCAATCACTGACTATCTTTCAATCAAATGTTAAAATGTTATGTTGAATATCAATTTTGGCTTTATGAATTAATATTTGTTAAATACTACAGATTTTAATAAATGGTATAATTCTCTTTTTTGCAACATTCAAATAAAACTAGAATCAAAGCATGCTCACTTAAAAAATGGAGGACGGGAAGGCTACTGGTTTTTATCAATTGATGATTTTTTTCAAATTTACATACTAACAGATGGATAAATAACAATTACTTCTAGAATTTACTACTCTGCTTAATTAATAATTAGCCATAATTCATGTCATAAGATGAAGGAATAATTGATTAGTTGTATAGAAGATAAAACATAACACAAACCAACAGATATGGACCCTTTGCAGCCCAATCACGGGATGACCCACAACCATAATCTTTGCCTGCAAGTATAATTAACTGCCTTCCTTCACTGCGATACTTCTCCGCTGCATCAAATACATCCATCTAGAAGTTCAAAATTACAATTATACACATGTAAAAAATTTATACAATTTTATACAATTAACAATTAATTATGCAAAGGAAAGATTATACAGTCAAAAGTCTTTAATCCGGACGTCCATAATCTGGAATGATCTATAATCCTGACCTCAAAGCTACAAACTTTCTGCACATGCATAAACGCATAATACCTTTACGCATGCGCATTTAATGTATAACGGACGGTATAAGCTAAGCTAAAATTTTCTATTTCAGTTAATGTTACAGATTGTGTTGTTCCTTAATCTTCTAATTGGATGCAGCTTATTATTTTTTGCAGACTGTTAGAGCAATTTTACAAAAGTAAGCTTGAACTTTTGATTATGTCAAAAAGAATTTCCAATTCTGGTGCTGCCGAAGAATCTACAAAGCGAAAGCATATTTCGATGTCCATCAAACAAAAAGTGGAATTGCTGCAAAAAATGGATAAAGGCATGAAGAAAGTGACAGAGGGGTGATTTGTTTCTCTAACCATTCCGAAACCTATTTATCAATTTAAGGCTGCTCTGTGTGTGGGGGGGGGGGACGTTGCGACGCGCAATGAACTGGAAGTTGATCTGTCAGCACTATCCTTATCTTCAGGGCACATGTTTTTATTTTATTCGGCTTATAATTCCTTACTAAATGTAGTATTTCATCTCGTTGTACTCAGTCTTTGATATGATTTAAATCAAATTCCTCGTCATTATAAATATCACAAATACACATCAAATAGTTTTCTGATTCCAATTTTCTAATTTTGACAATGCGTAATGTCTGCTTTACGCATGCGCGCATTAAAAGAAATGTTTAATAAATAAAACAAATAAATATTAAGCTTTTTTTTGTAAATTTTGATACCCTTTAGATCATAATTGCTCTTTATTTCATAAGTTACGATTTCATATTTTTAATTTTATAATTTCTGCATGCCATCTTACCAGATTTAAACTGATGATCTATAATCTGGAAACGCCGATAATCCGGAATTGCCGAAGTCCCGACGAGTCTGGATTAAAGACTTTTGACTGTATTTAAAATCAACAATCTTCTCTCCAAATCTTACAATATACTTCCTTCTATGTGTTTGTTAATTTACTTCATCAGAAATTTTAAGATTGGTAACATTGGCAATAAACTATGTTTAAAGAAAATGGGTTATAAATTTAATAGAATGCGAAAGAGAAAATTATACAATCAATTAATTTGTGCAGATAATGAAATTTTTGGCTTTTTTTCCCCTGTAATCCTAGAGCAAGTCTTAACAATATCTCCCTCCCTTTTCTTTGCTTATAATTACGGCACAGTAATTCAGCTGAGTTTAGTGAAAAATATCATTTGAACTAAATACAGATTAGAATTATTTTCATGTAAAAAAGTAAATACGTAAGCAATTTTAAATCAAAGGCAAGAAATATATTGTTGCTAAATGTCTCGTCTAGAAATGCATATCCTTTTTCTTAGATCTGAAGTCTCCCATTAGATTGCAAAGAGATCCCACGATGTTCTATGTATAATTATCAGGGATAGAAAGAAATTTCCATTCATACACAACATAAATAAAGTATTTAAAAACTAAAATTACAGTCTAATGTTTAAAAAAGTTTAAAGTTAATATTATAAATATTAGTTAAAAAGAAACTGCAATCCGATCTCGATACGTAGATTTCAGTTTAAAGCCTTTGAAAGATTTTTAAACTAAGATGGTCATTAGTTTTAAGAAATATTCCTTAAAATATATATCTAGATCATAAAAACTTTAAAATTAGCTTTCAAAGTGGTACACATAAAAGTTACCCTTTTCATTACTAAAAACACAGCTATGTATTTATTTCACTTGTTCATTTGTGTAGCAATAAATATTTTCAAGTGGCATTACTTATTACTTTGCCATCCCCCCATAAAAATCCATATAATGTACACAAATTACTGAAAAATAATTTTTAACTGCAATTTCAGATTACCAAATTCAAATGAATCACTCTCACCAATTTAAAAAAAAATATGAAATTTTCAGATTGCAATCTGGAAAAAACTAAAAAATGCTCTGGAAAATTAGTAAAAAAAATAACTATTAAATTTTTGAATACTTGGCAAAATCTTTAAATATTTACAAAATATAAAATTTAAAAGTTGTAACTTAATTTTTATATGCTGGTTCCAATTAAATGCCTAAAACAACTTTAAGTTAAACCGGCAGCACGCACATCCTAATATTAGCGCGAGAACGCGCGTTGGGTCGAATAGGCCCGTGTGCACTTTTTTAAATTCATGCAACTTATTATTGAACCAGTAATATATTTTTTATACTACAATTCAGAAAAATTAAGAAGTTATATATTTGAATATAATGAATTAATATTTAGAAAAATCTTGTTAAATCCTTACATTGCATATAACGTTGAATAAGATAACAGAATAAGGTAAGATAATTGAATGAGGTAACTAAATTAATGAATTAATGCATTTAAATTTTCAATACTGAAAAAATACTTGGATATGAAGCTACAAACATAACACTGGTATAAATTTATTTGCACACAATACGGAGCTATGTTGCAACTCGACTCTTGCTGAGATCCGATGGCTGAGTGAAGTCATTTCGAACTCTGAACTCTCGCTTAGAGATCACGAGAACTCGGAACTGAGAGGTCGCACACTGCGTCGTGCGAACATTTAAACTTTTCGTCATGTAAATATTCTGTAACTGTTTGCATCTTCATTAAATAGGTTTGTGTAAAGAAAGTATTTATCATTTGTGGATTATCCCTTTCAAGATTTTGCAGATATTCACAGAGGAACTTCAGCCCTATGGCAGAACCCATTAGAACAAGGTAAGCAGTTTTGTTTTACCTTGATTAATTAGAAGTAACAATAAAGATATAAATATAATTATTGTGGCGCCATAACGTGGGGCCATTGGGTTGAATTTGAACTGAAGTTTAATAGATTTTGCTTAAAGCAAAAACATGGATTTAGAAAAATTAAAAAAGAAACGATCTGCTATAAGAGCAGTAGTTACGAGGCTGATAAATAAGATAGAAACAGAAATTGCTAATGAGGGGGGATAAAAATGTAACTGAAGAAACGGTTGCTCAGTTAATTAGTAAAGAAGAAGAATTAATATAACTCTTAGCGGATAACGGTATTGAAACTTTAATTGATGTAACAAATTTACAAGAATGAAATAATGTTCTAGAGAAAGAGTATAAAAGTAAAATTTATTATTTGGAAATTATGCACGCGAAAAGATAGTTTAGATACTAATTCACATAGCGCTAATTCTACTTCATGTGAAAATGTCACTGAATCGCAGAACAAAATTCAACTTCCCCAAAATTGGCACCTGGAAACATTTTCAGGGAAAAGGATGTGTGCAGTTGGCCCAGGTTTTAGGGCACGAATTTGAGACAGCTGTATACGAAAATGAAAGCCTACATGCAGGTAGATATAATCTTAACTATTTAAAGTCAATTCTTACTTCCGATGCAGAAACTGCAATAACAAGGGTTTTTGTAACGTTAACCGCAGAGAATTACGAAAAGACTGTGAAATATTAAAAGAGATCGCTTCGGACGCAAAGAACTAATAATAGATACCCACATGAACAATTTATTTAACTCTGACTCCGGTTAAAAGGTCTTGCGATGTGACAGCACTTCGAAAATTATATGATCATTGTGAAGTACAATTAGAGGATTAGAATCATGTAATATTTTACCGGATTCGTACAGTACCTTATTGTATCCGATATTAATAAAGGTAATTCCGAATGATTTAGCACTAGAATTTAATAGGAAATATGAAGATGATAATCAGACAAAATTACGAATTTGCTCAATTTTTTCTAAGAAAAGAAATAGAAAAGTCGAGAACGTACAGGATTTTTAGTTAAGCCAACAGATTCTGAAGTCACTGAAAAGAAATCCCATTTTGAAAATAAGCGGCAGTTTCGAGAACGTTTTCGAGACAGCGAAAGAAATCGGGATTATAATAAGGGTAGAATTCCTTCAGCGGCAGCGTTATCACTATCTAATAGCTGTTTATTCTGTTCTGAAAATCATACGTCAGAATCATGTCAAAAAACTGTGCCAGAGAAAAGGAAGCATTAAAGTGAAGTGGAATTTGTTTTGTGTGTTTCAAAAGATACCATTTAGCGAGGACGTGCAAATCGAAACTAACTTGTGGTATTTGCAATCGGCGGCATCATACATTGATAGACTCTGACGAAACGAATGCGTCAGATGAGAGTCCCGTTCAGGGTCATAGTCTCTCTTTTCTGTTTTCCGATTGCGCAACAGCAAATAACTCATTTCTTTCTTCTGCCAGCACGAGCTGAAATTATAAACACAGGCAATTGGCGCCAGCAAAGCGTTCGCTTGTTGTTTGATTTAGGATTGCAGTGAACATTTATTAGAGAAGACATCTGTAAGAAATTTAAACTTCCCGTTATTGGAGAAGAAAAAATAAAAATATTCTTTTTCGGTTGCATGACGTCTGAAGCGCAGAACGTTAAAAAACCAGGCTCATTTTGCGTAATATCGAAGAATTTTGCGTCATATCAAAGAATCGATATGAAATCAAAACAGAAGCTTTAATTATTCCTGTCATTAATGGATCACATATTCATTCCCCTAAAATGAAATAGTTAATCTTATTAAAAAACATAATGGGGACAAACCGTCGAAAATTTCTTTGCTAATAGGAGCGAATTTTTATTGGAAAATAGTTACGGGTAAGGTTCACAGACTGTCTAATTCCTAATAGCGGTTGAAACAAAATTGGGTTGGACCATTAATGGAACAAAAAAGGCTAACGGAATTTTATCAAGTAATGTGAATACTATGAAGGTTGTGGTTCATAATAATAAAGATACACAGAAGGAATCACTGTCTAGTTTGCTGAAGAATCTCTGGGAGCACGATTCTATGGGGATAAATTACGATTTGGATAAGGAACTCGAATTAGAAGATAATTTAGTTTTC